TTTTTTTTTTTTTTTTTTTTTTTTTTTTTTTTTTTTTTTTTTTTTTTTTTTTTTTTTCTGTTTCAAGGAAGTTATTATCCACAAAGCGTCAGTCCTCGAGCAAGAAACAATGCGAATTAGGGGCCGAGGGAAGGGGTGGGATTTTAAACAAATTGCTACTCAACGAAATTAAAAATTTCCCCCCTCCCATTGTACTGCTTTTCAATCAAGTCTTGCACGAGCTGTTTTTTTTTTTCACCCCCTCGATTGCTGTATTTTAGATTAGTTGGTGATTTTTGGAGAAAAAAAAAAAAAAAATAGGGGTGGAGTCCATGGCATCGAAGCCAGAAACTTGCGAACGATCGCAACACACAAGGCCCAGGCGTTTGAATGTATAAAATGTGAATATATTTTACAGAGGAGATTTATATAATGTCATTGTGATTATCGATGATTTCAGAGAGTCGGCTTTTCGTCAGAACGTTATGACGGCGCGGGCCGCGACTTTTTTTTTCTTTATATGTACTTACGTAGCGTATGTAAAATATCTTACACATAACTATATATTTATGTATATAGTTGTGAAAAAAGAGGTGTGCGTGTTCAACTACATTTATCGTTTTTTTTTTTTTCCAATATTTCAATCGAGATGCATTTGAAAATTTTATACAGGTTTAGCTATTGATTGTCGGCGTCGCTTGATGTATATATTATGCATTTCGGGCAAGGCTGAACTTTCGACAAGCCTACGATGGACACGAACGGGTTTAATACTAATGTATCTATTTTACTTTTGAGTAGAATTTCATTCAACAAGTTCTGATAATTTTTTTTCTTTTTTTTATCAATACAATTATTTAACTATACACAAGGTACGTAGGCTCGTCGAAAGACCCTAAGTCCCAGGTCGTACTGTTAAAACATACTTAATTGCTAAAATAAAAATTTAATTTCATTGCAAATAAAAGGCAAACTACTGACACCGAAGACACTGACACTTTATTTTTGTACAACTAGAGTAGCGTTGAGGTTGAAAGTCAAAGTCATTTTTTTTTGTCATCTTAATTGATAAATTTGCACTAGTTTGCAGTAAAGCCAGTAATAATCACTCAAAATAAAAATTAATTATGAATACGACGACTTTCAACCTCTCGGCTGAATTTTATATATTTAGCCAGACGATAACATTGATACAATTTAACGAACGTTAGCACAAATGAATAAGCTCGATCAAGTATAATTGCTTAGTCAACTAAAAAATCTTTGCAAATAAAACCTTTTTTTTCATAACTTATTAAAAAAAAAAATAAAATAAAATAAAATAAAAAATATGTGTAATTACTTATCGTCATTCTCGAATTTTTTCTTCTTTAAAGTAACGTTAAAAAAACAAAATTTTTTTTTCCATCGAATAAGCAGTATCATATTCCTCTAATATACTCGTTATATAAATTTATGTCACCGGCATTGGACACGCAAGAGATCAAAGTCACAATATAAATATAATAAAAATAAATGTTATCGCGCAACGATGACGATGGAAGACCTAAAATAAAAAATTTTTCAAACAAAAAAGAAATCAAAAATCATCGTATACAATTGTCAAGGCGAGTCAGCCGAGTAAAAAATTATTCTAAAAAAAATATTGCGAACAAGAAGCATACTCAGGCTCACACTTACCTCGTGGTTTTACTAACAACTACTGATTTTTCATCGTTTATTATTATTTGCCTCTAATTTATAACATTCGATCGTGAAACATTCATGCAAAAGTGCTGATTAACGAAACAATGACATAAAAATAAATTTATCGTGTTGGTTTGACATACATATGTTTCGGTTCGTTTCTTTTTTACAGCATTCTTGTGCACATAAATACAAGTCATGATTAAAGAGAAAAATGAAGCAGCGCCTTTTGGATCTACTTTTTTTTTTTTTTTTTTTTTAATACTCCTAGCTTACTTTCTTTTTTTTTTTTTTTTTTTTTTTTTTTTTTTTTTTTTTTTTTTTTTTTTTTTTTTTTT